CCGCGGCTCCGCGCCAGCTGAGGGCGGAGCTGGGGGAGTTTGTCACCGGCAGCCTGGGAAGCTGTGGCTGCCCCAGCCCTGGAGGTGCCCAAGGGCAGGTTGGATGGGGCCTGGAGCAGCCTGGGATGCTGGGAGGTGTCCCTGCCCATGCAGGGGTGGGACTGGATGGTCTTTGAGGTCCCTTCCAACCCAGCTCAGTCTGATTCTGTGAACTGGTGTGGATGTCCAACCTTTCAAAACCATTCAGCATCACCAACCCCATCTCTAAGCCTGCCCCCCCATCCCCTTTCCCCCCTATTTTGGTTTTGGTAAAACAAATAGAGGAAGGTGAAAAGGTCAATCCAGATGTTGGCTGGTGCAGCCCCTGCCAGCCTGTCCCTCTGCTGTCACCTCCTCCTCCTAATGAGGTCCCTAAAAGTGGAGTCACTGCCCTGGAGCTGTGCAGAGCTCTGGCTGGGCCAGACACCCCCCTGAAGCCAAGGACAGTGACAGCAGTGGGCACAGAGGACATCAGAAGCTGTTTGTCTCCAGAAGGTGTGATGTGAGCTGCAGTTCAGCATCAGGAGGTCCAACAGGTCTCTCCTCTTTACCAGCTCCCCACAAAGTCACTCCCCTACAGAGGCTCTTGGCCCTGGTGGTGGAACAACCCACACACCCTGAGGGCTGCTCAGGCTCAACATCACCACAAAAGGACCATCTGTCTGGATCAGAACACGGAGCTTCATCAAGGCTCAGCCCTGCAATGAAGCCCTGCTGTGGGGTCTGAGCACAGCAGAGCTTTGTGTCTCCTGGGTTGGCCACCCAGGGACCAGCAGTTGCCCTGGTCACCACAGCAGTGGGAAGCTGAGCCCTGAGGACCTTGCTAAAACTTTCTGCTGGGAAATGGGGCAACCTGGGCAACACTGCAGCTCAGGAAGTCCCATGAGGTAACAATAGGTGAGAACTGGAAGAAGGTTTGAGGGAAGGGTCAGGTACACTAACCTGTCCTTCTGTTCCTCCCCTGGCATCTAATTACAGTCATCAATGGAGGTGGAGAGGGGGTAGTCACTCTTTCATTCTGATGGTGGTGGCAGGTAACTTGCACCTGGGATCTGCTGTCACCTCCTCCTCCTAATGAGGTCCCTAAAAGTGGAGTCACTGCCCGTGCTGGGCAGCAGGAGCTCTGCTCACACGGAGCTGGGACAGCAGGTTCTGGAAGAACAAGGGTTTGGGGCTCTGCCCAGCACTGAGTCAGCAGGACAAGCCAGGCTTGAGTCACCTTCCCAGAGAAGGAGGAGGGGAGCCACCCGTGTGTCATGGCCCACCACACACCACAGGCATTTCCAGGTGCAGGAGGCACCTGGGTCCTCAGGACTGGAACAGGTTGCCCAGGGAAGCTGTGGCTGCCCCCTCCCTGGAGGTGTTCAAGGGCAGGTTGGATGAGGCTTGTGCAGCCTGGGCTGGTGGGAGGTGTCCCTGCTCAGGTTGGAACCCGATGAGCCTTAAGGTCCCTTCCAACCCTCACCATTCTCCCAAAAGACTCCCAGCTGCAGAGCTGCTCCTGGCGCATCTAAAGGGGACGTGGGGAGGCACAGGGGAGCTGAGAAGATTGCCCATGATTCCAGGTCTATCAGAGCAGATGGGCCATGTCTGGCAGGGCTCACCTGCCCACTGAGAAGACAGTGGTCTCTCCAGGATGCATCCTGCCCTTGCCTTCCTTGGACCGCCCTTGCCGCTGCAGCGGGTGCCTCTTCTTCTTGCTGCAGTGGATGCAGGGGGCCTGTGTGGAGCCCAGGTGCACCGTGTGGTGGTGGGGGGGGCCCCCGTCCTGGCTGTTGCGGTGAGGACAAAGGCTGCAACGGGAGAAGGACACGACAGGTCGTGTTGTCTGGAGGAGAATTCCCAAACCTTGGTGCAGCCTCCCTGCAGCAAGCCCTGAGAAGCAGCAGCTCTGGAGGGGACCTCCTGTGGAGGACTGTTCCCCTGGGTGGTGGGATGAAGCTCTCATTGCAACCCTCAGGGAAGCAGGACTTCTGGTTGGGAAGATGCTTTATAACAAGCTAGAAAGGGGCTGGTTGCAAAGTCTCCAAACCAAGGGGATACCCAAAGACTCCTCCTTCCTTACTCTGCAAGAGTCACAGGCTGGTACAAGCTTCCCTTACCTGGGCACTGGCACTAGGATGTCCCCTTCATTGTCCCCTAGCATCTCCTTGAGGGCCTCTGCATTTGCTGAAGAGAGAGGAAAAAGGGAATGTGTCAGCCAGAGTGGTCAGCACGTCCCTGGGCCAGCCCTAGGAAATGCTCACCTTCATTCTGGATGATGCACCTCACAATCTTCTCCACTGTGTCCTCGTTCAGCTCCTCCTCTTCATCTGAAAAGAGAAAACGTGGTGCTGAGGGCTGGGATTTGGACACTCAGCTCACCAGCCCCTCTCCAGAAGCAGCCACCTACTCTGAGAGGTTGGAGGAGCCTCATGTCCCCCATCACACCAGGAACACCAGACCCCTCACCCTGGGAAAAGAAATGGCTGAAGCAGCAGCCATGAGAGGGGGTTGTGCTGCTCCTTCCACCACATGGAACAGGTGGGAAGCAGGTTTGAAACCAGTTGAAAGAGAAAGCTCCTCATGGGGAAGGTCCAGCCCTGGAGCCCCCAGGTGGTGCTAAAAGCCTTTGTGGGTAAATGGGACAAGCTCACAGAGAAGAAACCACCTCTGATGGAGAAAGCCCTGGAGCTACAGGCTGTTAGAAGCTTTAAAGAGTGTGCTGGGGAAACTTGGCAAGGGGTCCTCTCCATTGTGGTATTCATCACAACCTGCTTCAGGCCACTGCTGGATGCAGGAGGTGGGGGAGGCTGGACCTCCAGCCCCATCTGCAGGGTTACACGTTCCTGGGAGCAGGTCAGAGCTGTGGTCTGGTAGGCAGCAGCCTCAAGGGCTATAGCCAGGGGCTTCTGGAAGCCCACAGAGATGCTTCCCTGGGATGTGGCAACTCCAGCAGGCAAAGCCAATCCTGGAAGGTTTGGGCACTGCCTCCACGTCAGAGGTGGCCAAGTCACTGAAGCCAGAGGAGCACATCCAGGGTCTCCTGGAAGCTCCCACTGCATCCTGAGGGAGCCACGTTTCCCTCCTGTGTGTGAGCAGTGGTGGTGGGAGGTGCTGACCCTCCCGCGTGCTGACGGTGGCACTGAGGACCTGGAGGAGTTTTGTAGCACCATTTGGCCATTTTCAGGTAGAGGAACAGCTGGAGGAACATGTCTTCTCCATTTCAGGGCCTCATGAAACCACGAAGCAACAGAGCTGGCTTGGGCTGAGCCCTGGCTCGTACCCACACTGGCCACTGCACTGACTTCCCAGTCCTACTGCCCAAGAGCCCGTCGTGGTGGCCTGGAGGGATGGAAACAATCCCTAAATGTCCCCTTCCAGTGGAGGGGCAGAGATCCCAAGGAAACATCCCTGTTCCTCTGGGCTGCAGAAGGCCAACAGGGACTAGAAGAGGACATGACCTTTTAAGACACCACGATGGCCCCATGCCAGACCTCCTAACCCCAAAGTGGCAGAGGGACAGCTGGTGCCCTGGCTGGAGGACACTGCCCTTGTGGGGGCACACGGGTTATAATTCAGGGGCTGAGGATCCAGCAGGTCCTGGCTGATCATCTGAATTATCTCTTGGTGACAAGGCAGCTTTTGGGAAGGGCCAAATGCTGGTTCCCACCTCCCTTGCACCACCAGCCTTCTCCAGGCCAGAGGGCTGTCCAGGCTGGAGGCTCCCAATCCCTGAGGAGCACAGCACTGCTACCATCACCCCATCCCCTTTTCCCACGGGACAGGTAACCCCCCCACCCCCAGCCCACATCCCAGAAGGGTGTTTTGAGGAGCATTGGTCCATGGCAGGTGAAGAGCAGCACCCGAGCCCCCCCTGAGCCCCCACCCCCCAGCACTCACTGGCCTGCAGCTCTGCCAGTACATCCTTGTTATCTGGGTCGAGCTCGTCCCGGAAGGTCCGGCACCGATAGCCCTTCTTCTTCAGGACGTGGCAGATCAGGAAACCCACCAGCCCCATGATGAAGAAGACCAGGACGAGGAGGAAGACCATGGACAGGCTGTGCTGGGGGTCGGACTCCCCATCATCGCTGCTGGTCTGGTCTGACATGCGGATCTGGGAGAAGGGGGAAGGATCAGAGGACCTGGTGCTCACCCCTGCCTGGCTCACCCTGCCTTCCTCCTCCTCCTCCTCCTCCTCCT